TAAACTAAATGTACTTTTTCCATCCTTGCCTTCCCTCTCCTCCCAGCCTCTGCTTACAGAGGTACTTAATTTTTACAACCCCTCTAGGTCTGTACATGTTGGTATGAAGAAACTAATGTTTTGTTTTTCTGTACATGAGTCCAAATGAAATTCCTAAACTGTTTCCCTGTTGGACTTTTTTTCTAGCAAGAGACAACTCCAAGGAAAGTTGACCAATGGAGTGCCACGGAGATCAATGTTTATTCTCAAGTGAGATGGAAATACAGGTGGTAGAAAGGGCAATTTAATAGGATTGGGAACACCTGCTTTCTGCCCCCTCAGCTTGCCACACACCTATCCTGGGGCCCTTTATTTTCTGAATCCAACTTTCTCATCTCTGACCTGAATGAAGCAAAACTTCAGCCTCACTGGGAGCTGATGAATTTCTCTCAGTCATTCGCCCTATTCCCTTGTTTCCTTGTCTTACAGGGTCACCTGTAGCTTCAAATAATGATCCTGGGAGCTACCTGTGTCCAAATGGAAGTTGAGGGACAAGGATGGGAAAGGAGGAGAAGAAATTGCTGTCCGGAGGACGGCTTGGGATCATTGACAGAAACCCATGTTACAGTCTTTCTTTGCTCCTCTCTTCTTGTCGAGGGCTGGGGACAGCTCCCCTTCTCTGTGGTACTATGGATTCCTCCTTGATGAGCCAGGGCAGTGACTTTGGGTTGCAATTTCTTTCTAAAGACAGGCACAGGTGTGCTGAATAGCAGCACACAAGAAAGACTTCATGGGAGGAGCCTTCCCACCATGACCCCTTAAATCAGAGGGAGTAACATATAGTTAAATGGAACTTGTTTTGCTTCCTTTCCTTACCTGCTTCTGAGATGTCCCCTCTCCCCCCAAAAGAACCTCAAACCAACCCCATTACCCTTCAGTCGATTCCAACCCATAGTGATCCCATAGGACACATTTGAACTGCCCCACCGGATGGCCTTGTAGGTAATCTTTCTGGAAGCCAGCTTTACTCCCATTGTGCCACTGGTGGGTTCAATCTATTCTGGTTAGCCTCTTGTACTTTGCCTGTAGTAACTCCAGGACACGCTAAAAAGGTAGCCTGTCGAGAGAAAAGCCTAAGCTAGGCCATTGATAAACGAAGAGTTAAAAAAAAAAAAACAACAACACCAAAACAGGAACAAACTCACTGCCATCGAATCAGTGCTGACTCATAGCAAGCCGCTAGGACAGGATAGAACTTCCCCTGTGGGTTCCCAAGACTGTAACTCTGTACAGAGGTAGAAAGCCCTGTCTGTCTCCCTCCAAGTGGTTGGTGATTTTGAACTGCTGACTTTGCAGTTAGCAGCCCAATGTGTATCCACTCTGCCACCAGGGCTCCTAAATGAAGAGTAGATGGGGTTTGAAGTGCTAGTAGTTTGGATATCCCCATAATACAAATATGTTCCTCACATCAGGGAGGCAAAAATGCAAAGTGAAGCTGTGAAAGCCAGTCATGGAGCAGAGCTCCCCGTGCGCAGGGGGCTCTCTCAAGTGAATAGAGGCCTCGTCTGCCTGTGGTCACGTGGCTTCTTGTACTCTATAACCGAATGACTCGTTTGGGTTGGGAATGTAAAGCGACATCAAACTGTCAGGGGACAGACATTGGTTTGCCTGCGGCCTCTGTGGGGCTCACAGGTTCAAATACAACACCCCCCC